TACGTGACTATTTTACTTACCACAAACAGGGCAGAATCCTGGAAATGTTTATCATGATCAAACGTTAGTAAACTACTCTTATTGAAACAATTCATTGATCCTATGGACTCATTTCCCGGTTATGAAGAAATAATTATATTTTCAATGGACTCCACTTATAATATAGAAATGAAATTATTTTAATAGTCACTTTAAGGAAATTGATTTTACTGTTATGAAAAGGTTGGAGATGCCCCTGTTGAATAATTTATTGCTGGCTGAATTTCATTACTAGACCTTCATTTTATCGTGGAGAATCACCCTGAAAAGAGTGAGTAAATCTTCAATAGAACGATATAATAGGTTATTAATTTTTTCTGAAATACTCTACAAAAGAGATATATACTTTTTCACAGTTTCTTAAAATTTCGACGGCATTCAATTCATGATATTCATATACAGGGTGGCCCAAACGGAGACACCCACTTTTTTTTCAGAGAGAAAACCTTAAATTTGAGACCCTCATGTGTGTCGAGTGATTTTTTGAAGTATTCGGGTTATGGATTTTCCAATGTTTATGAATTTTCTACCGACGCGGCTTTTGAGGTATTTTTTAGTTATATGCCATGTTATTCGCTGAAATCGGCGTTCAAAGGTTCGTGGGTGAAAATAGAAGACAGTTACTTAATTGCAAAATGTTATCATTGCTTATTTGGTTCTTTCTACGGTTAATGTATAATATAGTATATACTTTCACGGCCGGAGAAAACTGTGTTGAAGCTGTTTTTGTGTGTCAAAGCTATTTATATCCGTGGTCTGCAGGTTTTTATGTCTAATGTTTCGTTTACTACTGTGATATACATTATCAAAGGCAATGAGATAACAGTCGAAGTGCTCGATTTATTTTCAACACAAAAACTACAATGTTGAATATGGTCTGAGGTTTTATATCATCGTTGATAGGCGTATTGTACAATTAAGAACAGGTAGCCAGATTTTACTGATGTACACTGCCTCTTCCTTTCTACTAAAGTTATTCTTTTGTTTCTGAATTTTTTATTGCATCTCTATGTATTCTTGGATAGTTATTTTGAGTATTTGTGTATCCTCAAATGAGATGATGCGAGTGCTTTCTTTTAGAGGTTGTTCAGCTGCAGCTGATTTGTCAGTTTGCCCCAGGTTACTTTCTCTCGGATCCGGTATACCCCGAGTAATGCTAAAGGTTCTTTGGGGTCCTTAGTTCTGATAGTATTCGTTGGCCTAAATATTGGTTTTACGTCGTGTTTCTCTAAAATTCTTCAAATCCGTTTGTAACATTTTTTTACATAGGCGAGGAAAACTTTAAACGAGCCTAGCTGGGATTACTTTGACGTTTTCTCTTCTAGGTCGTATAGCCCGCCCGAATTCTACTTCGTTGTACCCATTCCCTTTGAAGGCATTTTTTAGGTGATTGAGTTCCTCAGGAAGAAGCTCAGGTTCACAGATGCTTCAAACCTCTTAACTAAAGATTTAATTACACCTTTGTTGTCGCTGGCTGAATAATAATTATGGAAATCAATGGATAGGTCAAAATAGTCTTTACTTTGAGTGTTCATTCGTTTACTTAATTTGCCACATGGTTATCAACGATTACTCGATGTTTATTTTACTTTTCAGTCCATCAGATACTTGAATTAATTCATAATAATAATTTCTTTGATTAGACCTAAGAATTATTAAAATTGTATATTTTTTATGAAATTTGGTAAACCACAATTTGAGAGGGTTACCAGTCCTAAAAAATCCCTAATACGATTTCTTGTATTCTAACCTGTAAAACTATTCGCGGCAGGCCTTGGTTTTTGTAGAAACGAGATGATATTCGGTCCCAAAGTACAGGTTTTTGAGCTCTACTATTCAAAATAAAGTTCTTCGAAATCGGAGAAAAGATGCAAAAGATATATTTTGAATGATGCAACTAATTTTCCTTTATTTTCAGGTCATCCTGTTGTCTGTCTCTTTATACGGTCAGAGCGTGTTAACTCACTATAAAGAGACAGACAACAGGATGACCAGTTCAGTTTGAGGAGTGCCAGAAGATGACAGTACTACCAACTGTCGAAAGCGTAAATATCGGAAACTTTCATCTGCTATCCCTTTATTCATTAAAATTTTGATAACCCTCAAATCTCTTAACCTCTACGTTGCATTATTTTGATGATTCATGAAAATACATATATCTTTATTCGTAAAAAATTTGATAACCTTCACGTCTCTAAATCCTACGTTGCATTATTTTGATGATGCATGAAAGTAAATACAAAACCAAATAATTTAATTACAAGTTACAATTTACTTACAAGCTGGTAATAGTTTATCATCAATTCACTATTGCTTCAACATATCCGTTTTCCCTTACAATACAGGTTTTCGTTATTAATGAACAACTCTGAAGATTGTAAATAATTTCGTTGGTCAATTAAAATCCACTATGAAGTGCACACACACTGTGGACACTCATCAGTAACCTTCGATCCTTTCTGGGATTTGTCTCTCCCCATACCACAAAGAAATGACCAATTGAATTTGTCACAATGCTTGGATTCCTTCACAAGAGAGGAAACTCTGGATGTTGAAAAAAACCAACGTGTTCGAAGTGCATGGAAAGAAGAAAAAGCACAAAGTCCTTATCAATCCATAAGTTTCCCTGTATTTGGGTCCTTCTTTAGAAGGATTAGATATGAGCAATTATGCAGCAGATAATGTGGCTCCTTGTCTTTATAATCTATATGCGCTTTCGAATCACAGGAAACGAAGCAGCACCTTTGATGTGTGTTTTTTTATGAACTAAATTCTGTCAATTTATTTGTATTTCCTGATTCTCTGATTACTGTATTCAAAGGTATAAAAATTAAAAAAAAACAGGTCCTTTCATTTCCAAATATTTATTTTTCTAATACGATGAAAAAAGTGTCAATAGGTTGAAAAGTATTAATTGAAGATATTTCTTTAATAAATATGATTACATAATGGCATTTCTCAACAAACAGTGTAAAAGATGTTTGCAAGAGTTCACTAATTTCAAAAATGCAACTTTCCCAGAGTATTCTGTATAACGAATGAATTGATTGATTGCACGCATGTAGGTATTAATCTAATGTACCATTGCAACATAGCCGTTGATAAAACAACACCATCATCCCGTACTGTTGCAAATCGTTAATTCACATGCATGCTCTTCAAATTAGTATGTAATCATCTGGGTCACCCAACTTTCTCTGTCTCTGATCTACAAGCATATTGCAATTGACTAGTTTGTGATTATTTGCGATTTCTTTTGTTTCAAAGCAAAACCGGTATTTTGAATTTTCATGAAATGCGCCATATTATCAGGAGGAAAGTTATTCTAAATAATATGGTATTGTTACGAAAGTATGTCTTTATCTTTCGATTTATTTCTCAGAAAAGCGATATCTGATTAAAAGTAAACGAAAAACAACAATAATAATGAACTATATGTGGTAGTAATGAGAAGGCCATTATTTATTTCCCTTGATTATCGACTTTAATCGTCATCTTCAAGTGAATACAAAAGTCTACTTTACATGTTGAAGTTCTTGTTGAATAAACATGAAACTAAATTAAAATAAGTTAAAAAAATATTTCAAACGGTTTTATTTAAAAAAAAGATAATAATTATGAAGATAATATACTAAGAAATGAAAAGATCCTAGGTAGCAGGAAGGTCCTAGGTAGCAGTCATCACATCACTGTCCTCAGCGATCTACGGTATTGATCTGATAAAAAAATAATCGATGCGTTGGACGTAGCGTAACCTGGGTAAATATGTAAATACTAAGCCCAACGATTTTATAATTTTTTATTTGATCAATACCGTTGATTGCTGAGGAGAGAGGTGTGATGACTACTACTTAGGACTTTTCGAATTACTTTTTAGCGAGGAAAGAGAATTGAAACTTTCCATGTTTTTACCACTTTTATTTGTAACTAGCGTTACTGCAGTTTCGTCCTATAAGGACATTTTAAAACTTATACATTAAACTAACAATGATTGATTAGATGAGCCCTTATATAACACCACTGTAGGTAGTAATAGAGGTACTTAGCTTGATTGAGTACCTGAATTTGTTTACTAGTGACAATGTGGATATTCTAATTTCAAAACCGGTGAGAAAACTAAATCCATTTTATCATCATTGCACCCGCAATGTTTATGCTTGTGAATTTCCAAGGATTCCAAATAATTGAGTTGCAACCCTTTCTTGCATAGTGCAAAATTTCCATATCGTTTAGATTCGGAAACTTGTGGTTGCATGCCAAGGAATGGTTTGAAAACGTCGAATCATTTTTATCTTCCTAGTCTGAAGGAGCTTTCATGTTCAGCATGAGGTTAGTGGAAGAGCAATTGAATGATGACTTGTCATCATGTAAATGGATCTTTGCCTTTTATCTTCATATAATAAATGAACTGTTCCTGATGAATTTGCTTTAAATGTATTAGAAGATAATAAAGACGATATTATTATTATTATATACCGTTTTTGGAAATTTCGACCACTTTGTCCCACACACTTTTACACTCCGGACACTTAAGCTTATAAACTCCAGATTCCTCCAACTTGTCCACTTTATCTTTGGCATTGAAAAGGAAATCAGATAACTTGGCATGTAGTCTGAATGTCATTTCCACATTGTTTTTTCTGGCATCCAGACCAGACCAGACCAGAAAAAGCATTTTGAAAGTAGGTACCTACGTCTATACTGTTAGAAGGAGGATAAGGTACGACTATTATTACTAATTCTGATCACTTGGTGTCACATTTCTGATAGTGAGTACAAGAAAATATAAAAATGTACCTCAAATACATTGAAGGTAATTAAAAAAAAATCTTTGGAGAAGATATAATAAAATAGGTACTTCTTCCACTATAATAACGACTATAATATATAACTGTATAAAAACTAAAACGTATCTATAGAAATGTCAATAAATAAGTAGTCACAATTTCTCTTTGTTTTAGGTTGAAATTCTCAATGCAAAATGGATAATTGTGAAACATCTTTGGAACCAAAAAAATCTTCATCAGACACTAACGAAAGTTCTAGTTCAGAAAACCAAGGAGTGAGTATTTGTATAATTTGCAGTAATCTTTTTTATGTTTGTTTCTCAATGAAGTAGAAATCAAATTATAGTATTCCTGATCATACTGCGGAATGGACTCCAACTTTTCATTTTTCTGACTTTTTCTCTAACACAAAAAAGTGAGTATTATGAAAGGCATGAATGCCAATATTAACATAATGCGAAGCTTTGAAATTTCAACGTTCATCAAACGTAATATTAACTAAACACATGGTATTTTTCAGTGGACAATTATGAATATTATTTTTTTGAGCTATCTACTTTATCAAACTTCACAGGATTGGGGGGGTCTTTGCAGGAAGTCTTGGAATTTTATTAATGAGCGACATATCCCTCTGAGAATAATATTTTGACCTAGTTTTTTTTTCTAATGGCAACCTAAAAATTATACACTCGATGTGAGTCTCTATTAAATCTGTGATATAGTTTTTCAATATCTGCGATAAAACGTTATTTTTCAATGAATTTTAATGTGCACAATCAAAAAACACCCAGAAACTTTACAAAACACGTTTTGATGTATACATAATGTGACCAAACGTCCCGTTTTGAACGGGACTGTCCCTTTATTCGACCATCTGTCCCATTGTCCCCAAGTAATGATCTGGGACGTAAAATAGTCCCGTTTTCTAAAATCATCTCCAAGAAAACCGTTGATAGGTATCGGATGTGGAGCCCATATAATTCACAATGCTATAAAATCTGCTGCAGACGGCCTACCTTTAGATTACAAAAGCATTATTGTAAAAATATATTCATTTTTTTATATTTATACGGTTGCAGTTGAAGCTCTGAAGAAATTTTGCGCTGAAGCTGAAATAGAACATCACCAAATGCTTGGCTACAACAAATCTTGCTAGCATGAGCTGATGCCTGCTTTGGAAAGAGTTTTGAAATGTACCAGCTGTTAAAGAATTATTTTTTGAGCATTGAAAAATGCCCCAAATCAATAAAAAAACTTTTTTGAAGAACCTACATCTGGATTATGGCTTTGTTTTTTACACGCTCAGTCAGTAAGTTTTCGCCAAGCACTTTTGAAGGTTGAAGGTCAAACTGTATTGGCAATTGACGGTGCAAAAGAAATCAATCAACTGTTCGTAATTTGATCATAAAACTGAAAGATGCTATTTATGAAGATTTTGTGAAAGGAACAGCTACAGAATTTTATAAAAGAAGTCGCGAATATTTGGAAGAATGGACTAACTTTCTTACAATAGAAATGGAGATATTTTATTGGGCAGATTTGAGAAAAGTACCTGCGTGGGAATATGTACAAAAAGCATTGGATGTATTGATTGAAAAGGGATATATTGACAGTACTAAACATACAGAAGTTTCACTCCACAAAAAATTAGACTGGAATAATTTAAAAGTTCACACAGAAATTCGTTGGGTGGAAGTATTCAAACACTTTCGCACCAACAATCTGCAACATGAAAATTTTTGTATTTTAATTGAATATATTTTATGTATATCTGGTACAAATGCTCCAGTAGAGAGAATATTTTCGTTAATAAATAAATTGTGGACGTCTGAAAAAAATCACTTGTAGGTTTCAGTTCTGAAGGCGATGTTGATAACGAATATAAACAAAACGTGCCAAGAATTTCACTCTTATTTAAAATCATAACCATCTTTATTGAAGCAAATTTGTTCCTCCGAAAAATATAAATACGACTAAAAATATAATATGTTGCATACAATTTAATAATTACTGCCACAATAACCACTGTCGAGGTTAAGTGGAAAAACAGGTTATTTTTATCGCCCTCAGAAAATAAACTGAACTTCGCCTTTTAGTTTCCTGTAATAAAAAAATTTGCATCTGATATTGGAAATAATGAAGACGAATTATTATTATTAAAATATGCTTTAATGAATCCATACAGTATGGTCCATACTGTATGGACCATACATACATACATAAATATGTTATATATGGACGTCCCGTTTTGAGTTAAAAAAATGGTCAGTTTATGTATAGATCACTTTATTGCGCACAAGCTTCATTGCATCTCACGAGTTTTCTCACAGGCCTATTTGCAGGTGTAACGATTCTAATTCATGAAATTATCCAAATCTTTTGAACACACTTGATTTACAATACCTTACCTTAGACCTGTCCAAGTCCTTGGAGGAATTGAACATATACTTTGTTGTATGTTTATCATACTTTTCTGGAAATAGTTACAACTCTCGATTATATGCGTTTTCTCCAGTCAACCATTACCTCACATTCACATAAAACATGACGAGCCTGTATCTCTTCGTTGCCCTATCGGTTGCTAATGTCTCCGATACCATGTCCTCTAAATGAAATGAGTCCACATTCACTGGAATTATTCTCAGACGGTTCCGTATTCGTTTCCAAGTATATTTACCCAGTATGCTTTTGTTGTTATTGACCCAATTCATTACACACTCATCATTATACTCATCAGTTTTTTCATTGCCTATGATCTCTGAGTGTCCTGATGACACCCAGTATAAAATCAATCTATCCCTCCGTCCTCTTCACGGCTGTCTTAGACTAATTTATGATAACCCAATGTCTAAACAAAACTAAATAACCCCATTCGAAGAAATCTAATGGCGTCAAATCATGAAAATCGGTTGGCCAACGAATGGGACCTCTGTTACCAATCCTTTCATTAGCGCATGTATCATTCAGTTGTTAGCTAACAGAGTATGAAGGGGCGAAATACCATCTTGTTGCTGTTCATTTTGAGAGAAGGGTATTTTTTTAAATATCCTGTTGAGGTGCCATTATGAAAGTGTGACTTCAAAAGGAAAGTCATCATCAACAATTCTTAAAAGGTTTTGCACTTTTTCAACTGTCATAATTTACAATAAAATATTTGCAGATAGATGAAAATCGTTCAATTGTTTTTTAGGTTTTGAAAAATCAAGAGTCGAAGCAAGTTCCATCAAAAAAGTCTAAAAAGAATAAAGGAAAATCAAAACCTACCAAAAATTCCGATGGATACGTCACTCTTTACGTAACATCTTGCGAAGAAGGGTTGCCACCAACTGTCGCTCCTGACAAACTGAAAGAAGCAATACCAAACCTAAATATAGTCAATACAGTTGAAACAGAATATGGATTAATACTTAACCTCCTGAACGATACTCACGTAGAAAACATCCTCAAACTCAATTTGGCGAAATTGTTCGGAAAACCTGTTCAAGTTGTTCCTTTATATTCCGGGCAATATAAAAAAACGGTCAGTTTCAAAGATATCCCTTGGTGCATTCGGAATGAAGAACTGGATTTGTGTTTGAAGAAACAGGGAATTCGTTACGGTAAATTGACAAGGGAAAAATCGTCGTTATATATTGAAGTGTCCGATTTCCCGAATTATCAAAGACTCAGGGAGGAAGGTATAAATTTTTATGATTCGGTGGTATTTCGGGCTACAGACGATTCTGGATTAAACGAAGAAATACATTACAACAACGACAATATCATCCAGTGCTACAAGTGAGTATTTTTTATCATGAAAGTTTAGCAGAGAATGTGTAATTAATGTAATGAAAATATATGTTTTTCTACTACTCGTTAGTCATCTCACTTGTCTGTTTCTCCTTAGTCTCCGGAGAACACTGCAGTCTCACGGACTTATTGTGTGTTTTCCTTTCTTTTTCACGACACCCATTCCAACAATCTTGTGACCTGTACTTATTTGTACAGGTCCCTTGCAGGATGCATGTCATATTCTCCTGGACATAATTCAGGTTGTCTATGAATTGCTCGCCACCTGTGACCCAACGCCTCACATTCGCATAGAATATGACGAGCTGTATATGTCTCTTTGTTGCATTGCCTGCAGTTGAGGTTTCCTTTGTACAGCCCTAATTTGTTCAAGAATCCTCTCAATGGACAGTTCCAGTGAGTAACACTCTAATTTTCTGAGTCGAACTTGGTTGAGTCCTCTTCTCGGATGATCATTTTATGAAGGTTTTTCCGTGTGTAGGTATTCTCTGTAAAGAGAGTTGATGATCAGCTCTTTTGTTGCCTGCGATGCCTGAGTGTCCTGGCACCCAGTATATAGTCAGCATATTTCTGTCCGTCAGTTTTCTCAGTTCCTCAAAGTATTCCCAAACCAGTCTCGATGTCATTTTTCCGATTGTCATTTCCCCAAGTGCAGTCCTACCACAACGACAAGGTGAAGCACCGTCGATGGGGGATATAAATATATTAGTCATTGGAGAATATCTTGAATTTCGAGATGATTCCATCCTTGCATTCCCAAAATCTATATTTGAATGCAAGAAACGGAGGCACTGTAGCAGATTGGTTAGCGTGAGTGATTTGTGGATGGGTGGGTTAAGCCCTGCGGCTAGACGATCGATTTTCACTGCGTAACGTCCAACCCATTTTAGGAATCGCACGTTAAACTGTAAGCCCTCATTAATCCATAGATCGCAGAGTTGACGTTCGTAAAGGGCGACATTTGATTAACGGAAAAACATATTTCAAACAGATTTCAAAACGAAGAAAATTTAAATAGCTACTATGATATTTATAATTTGGTCTATGGCTTATTTATTTTCTCACAAAGTAATCGAGTGATTCGTTTTTCATTCCACCAAGTTCTCATTTTTGATACGTAAAAGTGAAACCTCTAGAGTAAAATGAATATATACAGTGTGTCTCACTTCTCATGGAAACACCCCCGCTTTCCGTATCTTCCGTAATATTCGAGGTAGAACGATGAAACTCTCAGGACTGATGGAAATGCTCAAAATGCACCTACCACCTGAATGGGGTTGGCCAAAGTGATATACACTGTCCGACACTCGCGATGGAACACCCCATTTTTACGGTAAAACATATTAGGGGGCAAAATAGGCTCAAAATTTCTTCAGATTCGTGATCAGGACTACCAACTTACTACGAATACACTTTTTTTCTGAAAAAATTTCAGTCCTGAAAAATCCGAATTTGTTTCACTTCTCATAGAAACACCCCCGTATCTTCCGTAATATTCGAGGTGGAACGATGAAACTCTCAGGACTGAAGTTCATGTTTTGTCAAAACCAAACAAAAATCTACTTCAATTATTACGGAAGATACGGGGGTGTTTCCATGAGAAGTGAGACACACTGTATGAACACTCTGATGCTAACTTAGTTAGCAAAACATGCGTCAGGACACAGTGTTCTGTTCTGGTGTTATCTGTTTAAATGTGGAATGTACATATCGTGAAGATTCGCTTTCCACTCCAGGTGTTTACCGGATTCCGTGCTCCTGCGGGTTACTGTACGGCGGTATTACTAATAAGGAATCTGAGAACCCGCTTAAAGTAACATGAAAGGTCTTGCCGTCAGTTTTGAAAATCTGCAGTCGCTAAACTCGTACAACAAGAAGGCCATGAGATACAATTGAAAAAAAAACGTGCTTCACATCTCCCGACACCATTACACGCATCTAATCCATGAAGCCATAGAAATTTTTAACATGTGGACAACTTCAATGGAAAATAAGAAACTACAAAGATCGACAAAACATGGTATCCATTGGACCCTGGGTAATCAAAGTGCGATTTTTACTTCCGGCGGTAAAAGTTTAAAACTTCAGTTCTTACATTATGGTGTATCAGAAACCATAATCTGCCAATGGTAGAAACATTCAAGTGTGGTGTGAAAAAAATATTGGTTCTGCCATTTCAATACTATCAAACCATCGTGGTAAATAATACAGAGTATTTCCCAATGCATAAAAATTATGAAACAGTTGAGTTATACAGGTGACGTTTCCAACAATTGAATGCACCAAAACTATTCATTCGATTAAAATAAACATAAATGGGAAATCATATTTTAAATTATTTCTGAATTTCAAATTTTGAAACTAGGTTTTTTGACGTAACACATGTTCAAAATTGGCTTTATTCTTCAATCAAGAGCCACACAATTATTCTAACGCCGCTCTAACATTCCAATACGACCTCAAAATAGGCCTGAGTTTCAGCAATAACTTCTCCATTGGAGCGATATTTCTTACCGGTGAGCATTTTTTTGAGGTCTGCTAACAACCAGTAGTCGCTGGGAGCCAAATCTGGTGAATAAGGTGGATGTGGGAGCAATTCGAAGTTCAATTCATGTAGTTTTGCCGTTGTTTTGACTGACATGTGGCACGATGCGTTGTCTTGATGAAACAACATTTTTTACTTTGTCATATGCGGTCGTTTAATTGCTTCTTTGCATTTTCGGTCTTTAAACGTTCCAGAAACGCTATATAATATTCATTGTTGATGGTATCTCCCTTCTCAAGATAGTCGTTGAATATTACACCACGCACATCCCAAAATACCGAGGTCATAAACTTTCCAGCCGATTTTTTGTTTTCTGGTGTTTTGGACAAGCTTCACCAGTTGCTGCCCACTCAGATGACGATCGTTTTGATTCCGGAGTGAAGTGATAGATCCATGTTTCATCCTTTGTCAAATATCGACGCGAAAATTCAGGTTTGTTGTTTGCTTATGTTTGCACTTTCTGCTTCAGTTAGTTTATTGGAGCGGGTTAAAATGGACACCAATATGTCTCGGGACAATCATGTCGCTGGAATTGCAAAACCCGCTTCTCAAAAGCTTAGAACATTGTTTTGAACCCCAGAAAACTGTACACACTTCAGCAACTTTTGATGCTTTATAAAGCTCAGATCAGACCTTCTTTGGAGTATTATTCTCATGTATGGAGCTCCGCCCCTAAGCATACCCTGAAGCTGCTGGATTCCATCCAGAGAAGAGCCATCCGTCTGACTGGAGACGCGAACATCCTCTATAGATACTTTCACAAAAAGTGATCAAGTGATTTGGCACATTTGATTTCACCAAGAGCGGTACATATCAGAAATACGCGACGGACAGTGGCTGCTTATCGTTTTGAGATTCAACTCAGTACACCTCGAACTTCACTGTTCAAGAACTCTTTCATTTGGAAAACTGTGTTTATATGGAATAAACTTCCTAAGAACGTTTTTCCAAATAGATTTAATCTCCAGCGATTCAAATCCAATGTGAATCACTACTTTCGCACAGGCACCGATCTTAGAGCGCGATAAGGCTTGTGTTCTCTAAAAACAAAATGGCCAAACCCTGCTCAGAATCATCAAGACGTTCTTGTTTTTGGTCAACAGAGTGAGCTCGCGAGGCGTTCACTTTGAACAGAGTTAAATGCTCATGCAATATGTAGGCAACACGTTTTTTTGATTTCTTTACAATGTCAGCTAACCCACGCAACTTCACTTTTCGATAATTCAAAACGATTTTGTGGATTTTTTATGTTTTCTGGTGTTACTGTCCCATTTGGACGTCCACTGCGTTCTGCATCATCGGTGTCTCTACAACCAAGTTTGAAGTCAACAAACCAACGTTTAATTGTTGTTTTTGATGGAGCGGGGTCCTTATAACACTTTTCAAGCCATTGCTTCGCCTGAACGCCACCAATAAGCAGTGTAAGATTAAAATACGAAATTGTTTTTGATCCATTATTTTGAAAATAACAAAAAGTGTCACTTTTAGCACAATGACTCACATGAAATTTCAACAGTTTTCTTTTAAAGGTTGGTACTAACTAAAAAACCGGTGAATGCATTGAAACTAGCGCCATCTATGTGTTAGGCCCGAGACTTTTCACCTCAGGTCACAGTAGGAACATTGTATGGTTAGTCTATATACAAAGGTAGAAAGCTTAAAAACAATACTGTGCCCAGGTCATTGTCTAATCTTTAGACAATGCCCAGATAGTATTAGTCTATATACAAAGATTTTATCCTTTAATTTTTCTGTAAATAATACCAACTTATATCCCTCATACACTAAGCTCAATCGATCAATATGCGTGCAATTCCGAAACTGTAAAAATTTGCTTTTAAGCAAATGCTGTCGTGTGTAACTAATAAATTAGTATACACTCAAGTCATTTACTTACAAAAATTATGGAGTTGCGCCCATTTCAACCGATCAATTTTGGGCACGCGGGACATACTTATTCCTTGATTAAACTTATTCACTCGGAAAATAATAAGATCGCGTGTTTTTTTTTATTAATGAATGGAAAACTGAGAATAATTGATTTAAAAAAAAGATAATCTATATGATTTTAGGTGTCAAGGATTCTGGCATACTGCGAATACTTGTAAACAAAACGTCAGATGCGTGCGTTGTGGTGAGGAACATCAAGTAGAAATGTGCAATCGACCGAAAAACAGTCCTATCTGCTGCAATTGTAGAGGACCTCATCATGCCGCCTATAAGCTATGCCCTGTTCGATTGAAGCTGAAGAAATCTGTCAGAGTGTCTTTTGCATTCAATCAATGAATTCATACTTATTTATGTGGAAATTTTGGAAGTGTAAGAATAAAAGGTGGTGTCGAGTATAGAGTTTTGAATCTGGTCATTCTGTTTTCAGTGGCAAATCATGAACGCTTTTCATTTTTTAATGTTCTACAAATATTTCAACCTTACTTCTGATTTATCACAATTATTTCTTATATGAAAGCTACAGTACCAGTTTGAATTTTATTCTCTATTGTAAGTGCAAAAAATTGTGGCTTTATGCATGTTGAAGCAACTTATTCAAACAAAAATATCATCAACAGATACACCTGAAATATGAAATAATAGGATGGGTCAGAGTTGAAATGATAGCCAGAAATTTTTCAACGAATTTTCAAGTCAAATTGAAAAAATCTTGTTATTCTGTTGAGAAATGCTAATTATGATTTTTGGAGAGACAATTATTCTCCAAATTATTATTTGAACAGTTATGAAATTAAAAACCACAAAAAATGGTATTTTTTTTGTTAATAATTGCAATTTTTGTGTGGCGTAAAATCATTGTTACATAATCATTTCACGAATTTCAACTCATGAACTGTTGAAAATCTGTTTTTTCGTTAACCAGCTGTCGCCCCCCTACGAACGACAACTCTAAAAAGTCGAAACTTGGGTTAGCTAAGGACTAAAGAGGGCTTACCTTTTAACGCGCGATTCCTAACACGTGAACCTCTGACGGAAGCACCAAACTCTTACGAAGGTTCGAAATAGATGAACACTTCAATCTAGCAGACCACTATTATAATCTTCATGCAGTCATTGTTCACTGTGGTTCTGGCGTTGAATCTGTCATTATTACGCATTGGTCAAAGATGAAACAGATTCATTTAAATTTGACGATAGTAGTGTCACTAAGTTTTCTGGCGATGTCTTGAATTTATTGGAGACCTACAAAAGAGAGGACATTGGCAAATCAAGATCTTCAGGTGATGTGGTGCTACAGGTTTTACCGGGTTTTTCTGCAGCTGAAAAAGAAAATGCGCCACTGGAATTAATGAAGTCTCCCCGGAGCGCCAATTAATTTTTGTTGTTTTATAATTTCATGATTTGTATTACTTTCTTCTTATTGAACTTATTTGAACTAGACTAATACATACATTTGCTTTGATGCATTTGAGTTGATGTGTTGATGTAGCTTGTGTTTTCACTAATTTTTTTGTATTTTGAGCTATTTTACTGTATTGACTGCTCACAATCATTCAATCATACAGCGTTGGAGGCAAGGTAGCTACTTAGGTTGGCTTGAGTGATTTGTTGTACTCATTCAATCGACCATCAACTGAAACGGTGGTTCGAGCCGCGAGGCCGGACGACTGCCTACCGTCCAACCCCATTTTACAAATCGTAAGTTGAAAGGTAATACGTCGTTAATCCTATGGGGCGTATGAGGGCGACAGCTGGCTAACGGAGAAACAGATTTAGCGAAGCTGCTGTGGAAAAAAAATGAAATATTAGAGAGAGGTAGGCTGAATAGGCATTTTCCTGCAGTTCTAGTAAACAGTATTTCCAATATGTATTATTTTCATAGGTATAGGATGAAAGTGAACTTGATTCATATTATGATTCCTTTCACAGAAAGTGGGGGAATTCTGTTTTACCAGTTGCAGATTTCTCTGCGAACATGCAATTAGGAGGCAACAGAGCCCTTAAGCTATATACATTATTTCCTACCGAACAGAGCCGTTTCTATTTTTATTAAACATCAACAATGATTCCAGATTGATCACGGACATGATGTGTAAACTCCTCTGTCTTCAACAAGGACTACTATATGAGTGAGAAGTGTTGAAGACAACTCTCCTTACGAAAATGTGTTCTTAAGGAGCCTTGTTTATCTTTGATAATAATAATAATAATATAAGTGTATTCATGACATTTTATGATATATACATCGGAAATAATGAGCAAACTTCTGAATAAACTAATAATAACCTGGAGAAGTAAAACTTGTGCTAAGGTAAGTCCTAAAAACAGATACCTCATATATCTTTATAAATACAATCTCACATATATTCACATGCAAAGTATATACACAAATGTGAAAAAAAGAAAATAACAAATGAATACATAAATTTAAAGTATGTGCTTAATAACAATGAATTAAATAAAATTATTCAGAAATATAATTGATGAAATGTATATCATGGTTTTCACAGTGTGTGCACTTCATAGTGGATTTTAATTGACCAACGAAATAGTCTACAATCTTGGAGTTGTTCATATTCAAATATCTCTGCCAGGACTCTAGTGCTTTTCCGTTATCGCTCAATTTTTTGTCAATCTCAGTTAAGATCGGTTCAGGTTTCTCAGTAATTTTGTTGAGGTCCTCATGTGAACCTTCTAAAAGATATCGAAGGAATTCGTGGGCGTTTTCATGGGCAGGACCCATGTATCGAGGGGCAAATCTTTGAATCTGATTTTTGAAGTAGACTGTGTTGATTACTCTATCAGTTGAATTAAATTAAAGGTAAATTCGTATGATTTCTCATGATACTCTGTGGAACACCAATAGATATATTCTATGGCCCACTGAGTTGGTCTCCGATTTTAACTTTTTGTAACCGTTGTGACAAATACGGTATCAAAAGCCGTCGCTAAATCAATCAATACCGCTACCGATGATTTATCACAGGCTTCAACTGTTTTCCTATAAAATGGCATATTCTGTGTTAGAATTGTTGATGAAATTAAATTGTCGTTCAAATTGTCGTATATGATATCTATTAAAACACTTTCAATGTGGAAGGCGCACATGTGCGGCTTAGTTAGGTAAAGATATATGCGGACGGCGCGCTTGAGCGTCCTGAGTCCTGTAAATTATAATGAACTCTCAGATAATCCCGCACGTACGAAGAGGCTATGAACTTTTCTACGCATATTTGGACATATGTGGAGAAGATTCCTACAATATTCGTTTCTCAGACAAATAAATCGCTCGCTCCTAGGTAGCATCGGTTTGCTAGTAGTTTACAGAAGGCATAATAATACCAGTGTATCTAATACATTTCATTTATTTGTGCGCTGTGCTTATTTTTTGAGTTCTTCTGGGTCTTCACGTCACGTCATTCACCTCCTACTGGTAAATGCTTATTTACTATTCAGAAAATATGATAATAGACCAAATATATCATTCTATGATTTTCGATTAGCAGTAATTGAAAAATTATTGCCGGAAAAATTAGTTGAACCTACCCCAGAAGTTTCACAACATTTACCATCTAAAATAGGCATAACGAATGAAAAACTCTAGGAAAAAAGTGTCGTATGTGTCGTCAAAAAAACATTCGAAATGACACAATTCATCATTGTTTGATAATAATAATCGACTTTATTCAGTATTTAATATTACATAATAGGCGAAGTTTAGCTACCCAGCAAACAATTTTGATCGGCCTTATTCCGGCCCAGAATATGCTGGCCAGATCTGGCCTGAACGGCAAAGCACCTATAGCCTATGGCGGGNATGAAACAAATTGTTAGGAGTATACCACAAGATCATAGTTTAATGTATATATTTAATTCTGCTGATCACATATTAAATTTTGCTTTCAGTTTCTTTTTGAATGTGGATTTCGAGAATTTCATGAGATCCTTAGTAATCGTATTATGAAAAAATACAGCAAGAAAGGAAAATGATTTTCTGAACATGGCTGACGAATGACGAGGGATGTGTAAGTTTTCGTTAGTTCGAAGGTTGTAAGGATGGAGCTCTAACCTCTTTGTCAATTTATTGGATAGAGAAACAGGTATTTTAGATTGCAGTACTGAATAGGTGATATTGCAGTAGTTATATTCCCTGAGAACGGACATTGCACAACCAAGGTTGGCACGAGCTTAATGTGTTCACAAAAACGAGGGTTATGTCTTGAGCCATGTTTTCAAGAATATTGTTGTTGAGCTCACCGTGAATTGTTTCCGTTTGTTTTCTTCTTGTGCTTTGTTTTGTTAGATATCTCATTTTTCCGTTTTTCGTCCAAAAATAAAACTTTTTTTTGTTATTATTGATTTTTTACTTTTGAACTTCAAAAAATTTCAAAACTGCAATTCAAAATGCTAGACGCACAAGTGCGCTTTCCGCATATAACCATAAAATGTTCGAAATATGCGGTGAGCGCTCATGTGCGCTTTACAAAAAAACATGAGCAAACACTAAACAAGGTTTGATTACGATCGAGACATCGTTATGTAACATATAAGAAACTTTTTTGATAAGATTGGTATCGAATATTAATTCCGCACTGTACGGTACCATATTTATTACTATCGCAGTGAAAGTATTAACGTACTGTACTACATAGTCATGTTCATCTAAAATAAGTCGAAATTTCGTCCGTCTACTAAACGATTGATTTGAGCCAAACAAAAATATGAGAGGCCTCTGATCGGTCTGTATTACAATTTTCCCCCATATAAATATGATCTGTAATGTTTCACTGACCAAACTATAGCTGAAAGTTCTTGTTCTACATTGCTATAATTTCTTTCTGCTTTATTTAATATTCTACTGGCAAATGCAATTGGTTTATTGTCTCCGTCACAGAGTACTCCTGAAATTGCTATTTTTGAGGCATCAGTTGATGCCTCAAAAATAGCGGGTTGAGTTTTAAATTTACCTTTTGCAACCTTGTTGTGATCCATCAAACTATTTCCCAGAATAACAATATCGTCTAAGTAAACAAAACAACATTCAAAATTTAAAAACCTGTCATAGCCATAGTTAAAACCCTTGAGAATACACTGGGACTTACTTTCGCACCCATTGGCGATCTAGTCATTTGATATTGCCCTCTATTTGTGGTGAAAGCTGTATACTCTCTAGAAGCTGGGTCGAGTTCAATTTGGTCATACCCTTGTGCTAGGTTAAGATGGAAAAATAATTCGCACTGGAAAGTGAATCTGAAATCTCATTAACATTAGCAATAGGAAGTGATTCATCTTTCAGGCATTTTTTCAGTAATCTATAGTCAATAATAACTCTCCATTTCATCCGATTTTTTTAGTACTATTAGTAGTGGTGATGACTATGGAGATCTAGCGGGTT